ATACTGGGTGGGGTTTATATTATTAAAGGGACACTCCAGGCTCCCACATGTTAGATGCACTGTGTAGGTTAGGTTACAGTTGGTTATACTGGGTGGGTTTATATTATTAAAGGGACACTCCAGGCTCCCACACCCGTTAGATGCATTGTGTAGGTTAGGTTACAGTTATTTATACTGGGTGGGTTTATATTATTAAATGGACACTCCAGGCTCCCTGCGTTAGATGCTGTGTAGGTTGGGTTTACAGTTAGTTATACTGGGTGGGTTTATATTATTAAAGGGACACTCCAGGCTCCCACACACGTTAGATGCACTGTGTAGGTTGGGTTACAGTTAGTTATACTGGGTGGGTTTATATTATTAAAGGGACACTCCAGGCTCCCACACACGTTAGATGCACTGTGTAGGTTAGGTTACAGTTAGTTATACTGGGTGGGTTTATATTATTAAAGGGACACTCCAGGCTCCCACACACGTTAGATGCACTGTGTTGGTTAGGTTACAGTTAGTTATACTGGGTGGGTTTATATTATTAAAGGGACACTCCAGGCTCCCACACATGTTAGATGCACTGTGTTGGTTAGGTTACAGTTAGTTATACTGGGTGGGTTTATATTATTAAAGGGACACTCCAGGCTCCCACACACGTTAGATGCACTGTGTAGGTTAGGTTACAGTTAGTTATATTGGGTGGGTTTATATTATTAAAGGGACACTCCAGGCTCCCACACACGTTAGATCCACTATGTATGTTAGGTTACAGTTAGTTATACTGGGTGCGTTTATATTATTAAAGGGACACTCCAGGCTCCCACACACGTTAGGTGCACTGTGTAGGTTAGATTACAGTTAGTTATATTGGGTGGGTTTATATTATTAAAGGGACACTCCAGGCTCCCACACACGTTGGATGCACTGTGTTAGTTAGGTTACAGTTAGTTATACTGGGTGGGTTTATATTATTAAAGGGACACTCCAGGCTCCCACACACGTTAGATGCACTGTGTAGGTTAGGTTACAGTTAGTTATACTGGGTGGGTTTATATTATTAAGGGACACTCCAGGCTCCCACACACGTTAGATGCACTGTGTAGGTTAGGTTACAGTTAGTTATACTGGGTGGGTTTATATTATTAAAGGGACACTCCAGGCTCCCACACACGTTGGATGCACTGTGTTAGTTAGGTTACAGTTAGTTATACTGGGTGGGTTTATATTATTAAAGGGACACTCCAGGTTCCCACACACGTTGGATGCACTGTGTTAGTTAGGTTACAGTTAGTTATACTGGGTGGGTTTATATTATTAAAGGGACACTCCAGGTTCCCTCACACGTTAGGTGCACTGTGTAGGTTAGGTTACAGTTATACTGGGTGGGTTTATATTATAAAGGGACACTCCAGGCTCCCACACACGTTAGATGCACTGTGTAGGTTAGGTTACAGTTAGTTATACTGGGTGGGTTTATATTATTAAAGGGACATTACCGGTTACAGTTGTCACACAATGTGCAGAATACTCCATATAACACGTTGTATAATACACACCCTGGCAGTATCTCGGGTTGCTGATTATTACACACTATGAATGTGGTAGCCTCTGTATAACATTCTCTGTATACAGGGCCAGGGTTCTCCTTCCTATTTTTATCTGGCAGCTGCAGGTTCAGTCTTGCCTATTTTTGGCAGTGCGTCTCTCGTAGCTTTGTTTATACAGAGTCCATGGCAGCGTTACATTGAGTGCTGGTCTGAGTGATCAGAGGTTGTGCTCCAACACTGTATATCCAGCATGAATCCCACAGGTGCGGACTGTTGTTTTGGGGCAGTTATATCAGGCTGTTCCAGCTTCCTCTCCCATTCCAGGTATTTTTAACCCCACAGATAATAGGTCTGGGAGGTATTGCAGGATTAAAAGCAGTAGGGGGTACCAGGCATGCATATCCAGAATCAGTGCTGGGGAGGGACAGTAGGTGCTAAGGGTGTTATGAGGAGGCAGTGAGAATAGGGAGACAGTGTAATGAGAGAAGTACAAAGGGAGCCTGGGGTACATTGTGGGGGTGCCAGAGCTATCACAATATATAATGAAGGGAGCCTGGCGTACATTTGGGGGGGATGCCAAAGCTATCACAATATATAATGAAGGCAGCCTGGGGTACATTGGGGGGTACCAGAGCTATCACAATATATAATGAAGGCAGCCTGGGGTACATTAGGGGGGTACCAGAGCTATCACAATATACTCAATGAAGGGGTCTGGGGTACACATTGGGGGGTGCCAGCTATCACGGTATATAATGAAGGGAGCCTGGGGTACATTGGGGGGGGGGAGTGCCAGGGCTTAACATCATATGGTGGAACTAAATCCCCATATTTATTCTTAGATAGGCGTTTTATAGAAGCCTTCTTAGTTATGAATTTTTACAAGTCTGAGTGCGCCGTAACTAGATTTTTCTGTCCGCTGGGTAAGTCAGTGTGTGTGTGTGTCCTGTCCGCTGGGTAAGTCAGTGTGTGTGTGTGTCCTGTCCGCTGGGTAAGTCAGTGTGTGTGTGTGTCCTGTCCGCTGGGTAAGTCAGTGTGTGTGTGTGTGTGTGTGTCCTGTCCGCTGGGTAAGTCAGTGTGTGTGTGTGTGTCTATCCGTGGGTAGAATCAGTGTGTGTGTGTGTGTGTCCTATCCGCTGGGTAAGTCAGTGTGTGTGTGTGTGTCCTGTCAGCTGGGTAAGAATCAGTGTGTGTGTGTGTGTGTGTCCTGTCCGCTAGGTAGAAGATGGTGTGTGTGTGTGTGTGTGTGTGTGTCTGTCCAGCTGGAGTAGAGTCAGTGTGTGTGTGTGTGTGTGTGTGTGTGTCCTGTCCATTTCGGGTAAAGTCCGGTGTGTGTGTGTGTGTGTGTGTGTCCTGTCTGCTGGGTAAGTCAGTGTGTGTGTGTGTCACATCGCTGTTAAGTCAGTGTGTGTGTCCTGTCGCTGGGTAAGTCAGTGTGTGTGTGTCCTGTCGCTGGGTAAGTCAGTGTGTGTGTGTGTGTCCTGTCCGCTGGGTAGAGTCAAGTGTGTGTGTGTGTGTCTGTATCCGCTGGGTAAAGTCAGTGTGTGTGTGTGTCCTGTCGCTGGGTAAGTCAGTGTGTGTAAGTCAGTGTGTGTCCTGTCCGCTGGGTAAGTCAGTGTGTGTCCTGTCCGCTGGGTAAGTCAGTGTGTGTCCTGTCCGCTGGGTAAGTCAGTGTGTGTCCTGTCCGCTGGGTAAGTCAGTGTGTGTCCTGTCCGCTGGGTAAGTCAGTGTGTGTCCTGTCCGCTGGGTAAGTCAGTGTGTGTCCTGTCTGCTGGGTAAGTCAGTGTGTGTCCTGTCCGCTGGGTAAGTCAGTGTGTGTCCTGTCCGCTGGGTAAGTCAGTGTGTGTCCTGTCCGCTGGGTAAGTCAGTGTGTGTCCTGTCCGCTGGGTAAGTCAGTGTGTGTCCTGTCCTCTGGGTAAGTCAGTGTGTGTCCTGTCCTCTGGGTAAGTCAGTGTGTGTCCTGTCCGCTGGGTATGTCAGTGTGTGTGTGTGTGTCTTATCTGCTGGGTAAGTCAGTGCTGGGTAGCTCAGTGTACACTGCCAGTTTTTTTTTTTTTTTTTTCTGTGTCCTGACTTATTTCTCTGTTCACAGTGATAGTGGAGAGGACTCATTGGACACTCTGCTTACTCGCCTACCCCTGACTCCTTCATTGTCCCCTCGCAAGCGGACAACCAGTCAGAGCAAGACTGAGCCACCATTACTACGCACCAGCAAGAGGACTATTTATACTGCTGGCCGCCCTCCATGGTACAATGAATCTGGAACCCCGTTCAAGGAGGCGTTTGTTATAGGTACAGCCACATCATGTAAATTAATGTTAATTTCCCTTGCCCTACGTAGTGGTATCAACCTGCGTGATTATTCACATTTCAGGTTTATGTGGTGGGAGTGCATCAGGGAAAACCACTGTAGCTAACAAGATTATTGAGGCTTTGGATGTTCCATGGGTCGTCCTTCTGTCAATGGACTGCTTCTACAAGGTGTGTAGCTTGCATATCTCATCTGGTCCTTCCCACTGTCTACCATTGCTTACTCCCATCTTCTCTGTTCCTCCCCACTCTCTCATATCTTAGCTAGTCCTCCCTTTTGTCTACCATTTCTGCTGGTCCTTCTCACTGCCTACCACCACTCTCTCATCTCCGCTAGTCCTTCCCACGGTCTACCACCTCTCTCTTCCAACTCCGCTGGTTCTCCCAACTGCCTATCACTGCTCTCTTTATTTCCACTGGGCCTTCCCGGTGTTTGCAACCATTTTCTCCACTCTCTGTTACACCTCATTCCAATCCCAAATTGGCCTCCTCACTTATGGGCCTTCCACAGCTCCTTCCACTTCCCGCAGGGCTTCTTTACTGCCGGCCACTGCGCCTTCCCATTCCCTCAGGGCCATCCCACTGGCAGCTGCTGCTGCTCCCTTCATCCCGCCTTGCATTTAGTGATCACTGCCTATACCTCACTTATGTCTATTTACACTTCCATTGTGATGCTGTCTATGATTAGATCCTCAGTAAGGAGGAGCAGGAACTGGCTGCCAGGAATGAATATAACTTTGATCATCCTGATGCGTTTGACTTTGATCTCCTGGTAAACGTTCTTCGGAAACTAAAGAAAGGGAAGAGTGTGAAAGTGCCAGTGTATGATTTTACCACGCACAGCCGTAGGAAAGAATGGGTAAGTACACTTTATGTAAGTAACCTACCATGACACCCCAGCTCCCAAGTGGGGTCGAATGCGCGTCCAGATCCGATGGGGACCTTTTTTGATGCTGTACTCTGTGGGGACGCCCAGCGTCTTCTCATTGTGATTTTCTCAGTTTAAATCGCGGAAGCGCCTCTAGTGGCTGTCAGGTAGACAGCCACTAGAGGCTGGATTAACCCTCAGCACTCTGGTATATGTTGGTACTTGTTTAACTCTGCACTCCTGATTCGCTTTTATAAGTAATGTGTGTTGAGTGCCTGACATGGGACTGTTTAGTTTATTGATACTCCACAGCATCATTTGGTGTGTGTGTGTGCGCGTGCGCAGCATCATTTGGTGTGTGTGTGTGCGCGCGTGCGTAGCATCATTTGGTGTGTGTGCGCGCGCAGCATCATTTGGTGTGTGTGTGCGCGCGCAGCATCATTTGGTGTGTGTGTGCGCGCGCAGCATCATTCGGTGTGTGTGCGCGCGCGCAGCATCATTCGGTGTGTGTGTGCGCGCGCGCAGCATCATTCGGTGTGTGTGTGCGCGCGCGCATCGTCGTTCGGTGTGCGCGCGCGCATCGTCGTTCGGTGCGCGCGCGCGCATCGTCGTTCGGTGCGCGCGCGCGCATCGTCGTTCGGTGCGCGCGCGCGCATCGTCGTTCGGTGCGCGCGCGCGCATCGTCGTTCGGTGCGCGCGCGCATCGTCGTTCGGTGTGCGCGCGCGCGCATCGTCGTTCGGTGTGCGCGCGCGCGCATCGTCGTTCGGTGTGCGCGCGCGCGCATCGTCCGGTGTGCGCGCGCGCATCGTCCGGTGTGCGCGCGCATCGTCGTTCGGTGTGCGCGCGCGCGCATCGTCGTTCGGTGTGCGCGCGCGCGCAGCGTCGTTCGGTGTGCGCGCGCAGCGTCGTTCGGTGTGCGCGCGCGCGCAGCGTCGTTCGGTGTCTCTGTGTACGTGCGCGGCGTGCATGCAAGCAGTTGTACCCTACTCCATTCTTTATATCATTTGCACAGAGTTATTAAACAGAGAATTTTAATAACTGGAGCCAAACTGGAAAAACGCTCTGTCATCTAGGTTTCAAGTCCGGCTGCTTTTTGGCATAAATCTGAAATCGACTTTAGATTCTCATTTTAGTAAATAAGCCCAGCAGTCTTTAAGGAGGTGATATTACACCCTACATTAGGCATTAAAGTAACTGAATTACTATTGCACTCTAATGGTTTAAAAGTGGTACTACATTCACTTTTCATAACCCTCACAGTTACAAGAAAAGGGAAGATTTATTGCGGCAAAATCCGGGGCTATACTGGGGAAAAGCGCTAAATAATTAGCAGTCATCATGGAAATGAACAGAATGTCTCCCAACATAGCACCCTGCCTTGACAGATCTCCACCATACATTTAAGGAAAGCCGTTAATGTGGAGTTATGGAATATTGAATACACTGTCCTCTACTCTGAAAAGCTCTGTTATATTTACTGTTTCACCTGTGCAACTCACATTATATGCACATAGAAACATAGAATGTGACGGCAGATAAGAACCATTCGGCCCATCTAGTCTGCCCAATTTTCTTAATACTTTCATTAGTCCCTGGCCTTATCTTATGGCTAGGATAGCCTTGTGCCTATCCCACGCATGCTTAAACTTCTTCACTGTGTTAAAGGAACACTATAGCGTTAGTTGACTAGGGCCCCGTTCCGCAGCAAATAAATGGTTAAGCATCATACAGTGCTTACCTTAATCCAGGGCCGGGCTCCCTTGGCACTGGTGACATCTCCTTCTCCATCTACGTCAGCTCCCAAGTGGGGTCGAATGCGCATGCACGTCCAGATCCCATGGGGACCTTTTTTGATACTGGACTCCGTGGGGACGTCCAGCGTCTTCTCATTGTGATTTTCTCAGTGTAAATCGCGGAAGTGCCTCTAGCGGCTGTCAGTGAGACAGCCACTAGAGGCTGGATTAACCCTCAGGGAAACATAGGAGTTTCTCTGAAACTGCTATGTTTTCAGCTGCAGGGTTAAAACTAGAGGGACCTGGCACCCAGACCACTTCATTCAGTTGAAGTGGTCTGGGTGCCTATAGTGGCCCTTTAGCCTCTTATATAATATATCTTACATAATATGCACTTTTTGTTAAATCTTTTTATTTCTCTCATTTTGCTAACCTTATAGTTTGTGCTGAGGTTTTGTAGTAAATGTAAAGTTTTTTAAGATGCATATCCTTACACGGCCACGCATACCGCAATACTAATCTCCATGACTCTATATATACTGTCTTTTCTCAGAAAACTGTGTACGGTGCCAATGTGGTGATATTTGAAGGAATTTTGTCTTTTGCCAACAAGGAGCTCCTTAAGGTTAGATTGAAATAATCCACACAGCCTCTAGGCTGCTGTATCTGGGTGCCCTCTCTGCCAGTCTCTTAACCTGTCCTGGCATTTCCCTCCGCAGCTCCTGGATATGAAGGTGTTCGTTGATACAGACTCTGACATCCGGTTGGTGCGCAGACTGAAGCGTGACATCACAGAAAGAGGCCGTGACATTGTTGGCGTCATCAAACAATATAACAAATTTGTGAAGCCCGCATTTGAGCAATATATAGAGCCCACAGTCCAACTGGCGGATATTGTGGTGCCGAGAGGTGTGTAGTCATTTGTCAGCATGATGATTTAAAAATGTGAGTGTTCTGTTTCTCCTTGTATCCCTGATCCAGGAGGAAGTGCCCAGATCAGGTCTGTAACGGATCCCCTAGCCCCCCGACTGGGTACCTCCATTGAAGGATGCTCCTAGCACTTCCTGAGGGCTCCAAGCACTGCAGCAGAGACCATAACCACTGAAGACCCCACGAATCGCCACAGCTTGGTTGGGGTCTCGCTGTCTCCTACCCACTCTGGACCTACGACAAGGCTCCAGGTTCCAGTGGGTGAACCCATCTTTCCTCAGAGAGCAAAGCAGGAACAAGCTCTTAAAAGAGCTTAGTGATTATCCAAGGGAGTATAACAAGCATAGCAATCCCTTGTAGCTGTTTACCCCAATAAGAGACAGGACTCTAAATTGAGGGTGAAGTAGAACTGGTTTCATGAGCGCAAAGACATTTCTTATATACAGTTTTCCCCACAAGGTTAGGTGGAGCACAGGACACAAAGTCACAACAGCCAATCAACACAGTATTGTACGGTTAGACACTCCCAGCTAATGTACACAAACCCTCTGCCTGTGATACAATTACCAAACACAATAGACTAACTCAATTACCACAGGCAGAAAATATAAATTTTTACCCAAAGTCCAGAAACACCCCAAAACAATAAATCCCCATAAATCCTACATCCCTGGATAGCCCTGATCTGGGTGAACAACATATCCAAAAATCACCCAGGTCAGAGCAGGGGTTCAAAGGTTTTATGGAAGTCACATTTGACCGACCGCAAGCATGGCTTTCATGCCCAAAACAGTTCCACAGATGTAGGCTGTGCAGCCGGTCTATCTTCTCCTCTATCCTGGAGATAATTGGCTTAAGTGACTGTGGTATCTTAATTATCTCCAGTAACAGGAAATATCTCTAAGTCAAAAACTACATAAAAATACATAAATATTATAATACAATGTTTAACCTATATGTCCAACATATCCCCAGATAGCTTGGATCTGAGCGCTCAATATGTCCGAAAAGCGCTCCGATCTCACAAATACAGTTGGATCGCCATGGGATTAAACAATAGCAAGGGCTGATGAGAGATTGAGGAGGGACAAAGCAGCCAGTTTCAACTGGTCTGGCAGTGTCCCTGGGACAACGCCCTGCTGGAGAAACAATAGGATAAGAAAAAGGGGGAGGGGAAGAGGCACATTTTCTCCTTTATTTAAAGGGGCAGAAAGAGTGTATTAAAATCCTATAAGCCCAAATAGGGTTTTTAAATGGCAATACCCCCAGGGGCCATAGTCACAGTGCAGGAGGCAGACAAGCAGGCCCCTCCAAAAACTCATGGCAAACTCTCTTAAAAAGAGGAGTTTGTCACAAGGTCATAGCCCAGAGATTCCAACAAACATTATATTTCACTTTCCAAAATGATCTGTGCTAGTTGAGCTCAGGCTGCAGGGACATTATCCCAGTTTACTTCTATTATCCACAGCAGTGTACACACTGATCAGCCACAGCATAAAAACACCTGCCTAATACCACATAGGTCCCCCTTGTGCTGCCAAAACCGCTCTGGTGCGTCAAGTCAAGGACTCCACAAGACCTCTTAACGTGTACCTTAGTATCTATAACCAAGACATTAGCAGCAAATCCTTTACGTCCTGCAAGTTGTGAGATGGGGCCTCCATGGAGCGGATTATTTGTTTCACCTCGTTCCACATCTTGCCTTGGCCTCCAAATTCCCCAGGTCTCAATCCGATTGCTGAAAAAGGCCCCTGTCATCAGAGTAATGCTATGGCCAGGAATGGGTGCATGGGGTCTGCAACAGTTCGCACAAAAGATTGCTAGTAAAACTGAAATCAGTTGGCTTAGATTAAAAAAATAGTTTTTCAATAGAACCCTGGCTTACAGGTAGAGTACAGAGAGTAGTTGTAAATGGAAAAGGTGGTAAGTAGAGTGCCTCTGACACATAACGAGGCAAGACAATACCGTCTGAACACTGTACAGAGGGATTTGGAATAGTGCACAAGTAGCTTTTTTTCTTTGTATTTTTTGTTTGTATCGGGGCTGATGTATACTGTAGTCATTGCTGCTGCCCAGAAACAGTAGGCATTTGAAGCAGGGCTTAATTTTGTATGTTTGCTCCTTGATCCATTTCTGAGGTTCATGTCCCCATTGAAGGTGCTTCTTCACGGGCACTCTGACCGGTCTGCAGCTACGCAGCCCCATACACAGCAACCTGCAATGCACTGTCTGTTCTGACTCCTTTTTTTTTTTTTTTATTGTGGCCAATATAATCACCAAAACAACCACAGCTTACTTGAGCAGTTTTGGTGTATATATCCTGACTTACTGCCTAATTCTCTGCTATTTAAGAGGGAAATCACTTTGTCTATACAGCCCTAGTCACACCTCCCTCCATGTGACCTACACAGCCTTCCTAAACACTTCCTGTAAAGGGTCATCTATGTTTAAACATCCTTTATTGCAAATTCTGTTCAGTATAACATTTCTCATCTCCTGCTATGTTAGTAGCTTGTTAAACCCTGCAGGAGTCTCCTGTGTGTGATTAAACTTCAATTTACAAAACAGGAGGTAAAAATTTAACATGCTGTGTGAATCACAGCCAAGGGAGGCGTGGCTAGGGCTGCATGGACAGAAACAAAAGGGATTTAACTCCTAAATGACAGATAATTGAGCAGTAAGACAGCAGGGACATGATCTATATACCAAAACCACTTAGTTAAGCTAAAGTTGTATTGGTGACTATAGTGTTCCTTTAAGTTTTTTAGCAATTTGAGCTACAGTAGCTCTTCTGTGTGATCGGATCAGACAGACTAGCCTTTGATCCCCACGTGCCTTGGGAAACTGTGACTCTGATGCCGGTTTTTAGGTTGTCCTTCATACCAGGAACACCCCACAAGACTTGTCCTTTTGGAGATGCTCTAGATGTCTAGCCATCACTATTTGGCCCTTGTCAATCTCATTCAGAATTTTTCGCTTGCCCATTTTCCTGCTTCCAACACATGAAATTCAAGAACTGACTGTTCACTTTCTGCCCAATATATCCCACCCCTTGACAGGTTACAATCAATGTTATTCACGTCATCGGTCAGTGGGTTTACTGGTGGTGCTGATCAGGGTACATCCTCTTACTGCACATAGTTCAATACATACACACCAGAGTGACCAAATACCAGGAAAATTAATACAAATGAAAACTTCTGAGCAAGTCTGAGAATTGACAGGCGAAACCATTTAATCTGTTGCCTTCACAAGCCTGCTGCTTTTGTGGTGTTGGGAGCCCCATTCGGTTGTAGAACCCGGAGTTGTGACTGAGGGATTTCCAGGGACTGCTCGTTGGTGGCCAACATCGACAAAGCGATTTCATTTCATTATTTATAGGTTTTGTTTTAGATTGACGTAATACTTTAATTGTGGCATGATTTTTATTTTATGCTTTTTTTTTTTATGTTCTGGATCTGCATAACCTCTAAGATCATACTGGATGTTTTTTTTTGTTTGAGGAATGTGTGGGTATATGTATAATTTTTAGTCCTTTTTACTAGTATCCGGGTCCTCTGGTAATTATATATTTGATCAATTCTAAGATGGTCGCCTCCACACTGAAACACGAACAGATCTTTTACTGGGGTCCCGCTGTGCGGGCTGCAATGATCGCGCTGTGCGGGCCCCCGGGGGCACCAACAGAGTGCCATCCATCATGGATATCATTGACAACAAGCAGCATTTCTGATGGAGACGATAATAGAGGGTTAAATGCGCCAACTGATCCCTTCTGTTCCATTAGATAATACTGGACAGGACAGCTCTCATGGACTGTTACATGCAAATGCACATCATTAAGGTGTATTATGTCTGTGTTTATGTCTTGTAGGAGGAGAGAACTTTGTGGCTCTGGATTTAATTGTTCAACATGTACACAGCCAGCTGGAGAAGGTAACACTTTATAAACTGGAACGATGCAGATACCCTGGGTGTCTGGCAATTAGGACACCTGTGGTATATTATCTAGGGATACAGGGGGGGATTGTATGGGGTGGTGGGGGTGGCGGGTATTGGATCTGGGAAAGATTACCCATGGGGGGTGGGGACAGGTATGGGATTTGGAGACAGATTATCCAGTGAGATGGGCAGGTATAGAATTTGGGGTAGATTATCTGGGGGGAAGGTATATAATTTGGGGTAGATAATAATTTGGGGTAGATTATTCAGGGGTGGTATATAATTTGGGATATAAGCTGGGTGGGCGCAGCTATGTAATTTGGGGTACATTATGCAGAGTGTGCTGGGACAGTGTAGAATTTGGGCTAGATTACCCAAAGTGAGAGATAGTGGGTAGTATAGTATTTGAGGTAGACTATCCAGAAAGAGAGGGCAGGTATATTATATTGGGTACTTAACTAGGGAAGGTACTGCTTTGATAGATTTACTGCCTCTGCATAATCAGCTGTGTCAGCGGCAGAGTTAGACTTTAGGGTCTGATCTGCTCTGTGGATTGCATGTCTGACAGTAACCTCTGTGTTTTTGCCCCTTCCCCATCTCTCTGTTTTTATTTTATTTTCATTTGTAACTTTTTTTTTTTTTTTTGCATCTCCTTGCCCTCATATCGCTTTTCACCCAATAACATATTTCTCCTTTCCTGTTAATCCCTTTACCACCTTTTCTTTTCCTTTTTGGTCCGTACCCCTGCATCTCTAATTACTTCCTACGTGTTGCTGTGACCTTTAACCTGTGGTTGTCGATGAGTCAGCGGGAGATCACAGTGAGGTAGGCATCTGATTGGTAAACCTGTCATGTGTCGTTAGTAGGGGAGAGAGCATAGACCTTCTACTGAAAAAACACAAACTATTGTCATTACTGGGGTGGAGCATCTAGACCTCCTGTCGGGGGAACCAGTCCTATTGTCATTACTGGGGAGCACATAGACATATTATTGGATAACCTGCCTTATTGTCATTACTGGGGTGGAGAACCTAAACCTATTATTGGGGAACCTGTCCTATTGCCATTACTGGGATGGAGCACCTAGACCTATTATTGGGGAACCTATCCTATTGTCGTTACTGGGGTCAAACACCTAGACCTCCTATCAGGGAACCTGTACTATTGTCATTACTGGGATGGAGCACCTAGACCTTCTATTGGGGAACTTGTCCTATTGTCATTACGGCGATGGAGTACCTAGACCTATTAGTAGCAAAACTGTCCTATCGTCATTACTGGGAAGGAGCACCTAGACCTCCTTTGGGAACCTGTCCTATTGCCATTACTGGGATGGAGCACCTAGATCTAATATTGGGGAACCAGTCCTATTGCCATTATTGGGATGAACAACGTAGACCTCCTATGAGAGAACCTGTCCTATTGTCATTACTGGGATCGAGCACCTAGCCCACCTGTAGGGGAACCTGACCTATTGTCATTACTGTGAAGGAGCACCTAGAGCTGTTATTGGGGAACCTGTCCTATGGTCATTACCTGGGTGGTGTACCTAGACCTATTATTGGAGACCCTGTCCTATTGTCATTACTGGGGTAGAGCACCTAGATCTCTAATGACTTAGGTGGATGAACATTTTCATGACTTGGTAGAGCACCTAGACCTATTATTGGGGAACCAGTCCTATTGTCATATTGCGGTAGATTACATCATCCTTGAATGTGAGAATGTGTCCTATAGCCATTGTTGGAGTAGAGTGCTAGACTTTACTTTGGGGAATGTGTACTACAGTCATTAGTGGAGTGGACTGCCCAGCCATGGATTTAGGGAGAGTGTCCTGTAATCATTTGTAGAGCACTAGATTAAATAGATTGGGGGACCTGGAGTGGAAGCAGTGATGGGGTAAAATTCCCTGTGTAACAGGAGGTTTGCAGCCATGTGTTGGCATTGCCTGGATTTTACGCTTTTTTTTTTTTTTTCCCAGATGTGAATTCTCTGTATGTTTGTGTGAAATATATTAATTGAAACCCAATTTTCCTGTACACGGCTGGATGAATCTGGCTGCAGGTATCGTGTATAGACATGTGCAGTACAGACTGACCGCATGTTGTTTTTCATGTAACTCTCAAAGGTATTCCTGTGTATTCAGGGCACGACTTTCTCTTTATTCGTAGAAAAATAATGCATCTGAACTGTCATCTTCCCTGTCTTTTCCTTCTGAATCCCTGTAACCCTATCCTAATCTGTTCTTTTTAATCAGAGCCCCATATGTTGTCTCCTCCAACACCCTTTAACACTCTGTCCTGTACCTCCACCTAGTGACTGCTCTCTTCAGTCAATTGTCTTACTCCGTAGTGACTGCTTTTTTTACCCCTAAGCTGTGTCCTTGTGATTGAGTCCTACCTTCTCCTTTCTCTTCTTTTTGTGACTGTGGCTCATTTTCCTGGTCTTTCCTGTCCACAACACCATATTTCGCAGAGGATGCAACGCTGGAACATGTGAGAGCTCCTGCTTGTTGTTTAATTGCACGGGTGTTGCAAACGGATTTGGGTGCTGGGTCCTGATTGTGCACCATGTATCTTTGTGGACTTTGTGTGTCCAGATTGAGGGCCATGTGTGAAGTCCTGGTGTGGTTCTGTCAGACCTTCAGTGAAACAATTTAGAAAGTCAACTGACGTGGTATATAATCCCAAAATAAATTGTGGCCACTGCTAAAATTGCAATAAAATTTTAACTTTTATTTATGTCCTAAAAATTTAAACTTTTCAAACTACTTTAACCCCTTAAGGACCAAACTTCTGGAATAAAAGGGAATCATGTCACACGTCATGTGTCCTTAAGGAGTTAAACTTGACAAGCTACATGAAAAGTGCCCATGTGGCAACCCTGCTTAACCAGTGACATTACCTCAGGTTCTCTCTGCTGTGATGGTATTGGCTGAGGGCCATGGCTTCATAATGATGTTGACTGAGGTTTCTGGCTGTGTGGTGGTGTTGGTTGAGCTTTTAGATTGTGATGATATGAGAGTCCTGGCTGAAGAATTGACGATGTTGGCTGAGGGTCCTGTCTTAGTGATTGTCAACGATGGCTGAGGGTCCTGGCTAAACGATTGATGTTAGCTGAGGATCCTGGCTGAATGATTTCCGATATTGGCTGATGGTCCTGGCTGAACGATTGACAATGTTGGCTGTGGGTCCTGGCTGAATGATTGACAATGTTGGCTGTGGGTCCTGGCTGAATGATTGACAATGTTGGCTGTGGGTCCTGGCTGAATGATTGACAATGTTGGCTGAGGGTCCTGGCTGAACGATTGACAATGTTGGCTGAGGGTCCTGGCTGAACGATTGACGATGGCTGAGGGTCCTGCCTGAACAATTGATGATGATGGCTGAGGGTCCTGGTTGAACGATTGACGATGTTGGCTGAGGGTCCTGGCTGAATGATTGACAATGTTGGCTGTGGGTCCTGGCTGAATGATTGACAATGTTGGCTGAGGGTCCTGCCTGAACGATTGACGATGGCTGAGGGTCCTGCCTGAACAATTGATGATGATGGCTGATGGTCCTGGCTGAACGATTGACAATGTTGGCTGTGGGTCCTGGCTGAACGATTGACAATGTTGGCTGTGGGTCCTGGCTGAATGATTGACAATGTTGGCTGTGGGTCCTGGCTGAATGATTGACAATGTTGGCTGTGGGTCCTGGCTGAATGATTGACAATGTTGGCTGTGGGTCCTGGCTGAATGATTGACAATGTTGGCTGAGGGTCCTGGCTGAACGATTGACAATGTTGGCTGAGGGTCCTGGCTGAATGATTGACAATGTTGGCTGAGGGTCCTGCCTGAACGATTGACGATGGCTGAGGGTCCTGCCTGAACAATTGATGATGATGGCTGAGGGTCCTGGCTGAATGATTGACGATGTTGGCTGATGGTCCTGGCTGAACGATTGACGATGTTGGCTGATGGTCCTGGCTGAACGATTGACAATGTTGGCTGTGGGTCCTGGCTGAACGATTAACGATGTTGGCTGAGGGTCCTGCCTGAATCATTGACGATGATGGCTGAGGGTCCTGGCTGAACGATTGACGATGTTGGCTGAGGGTCCTGGCTGAACGATTGACGATGTTGGCTTGGGGTCCTGGCTGAACGATTGACGATGATGGCTGAGGGTCCTGCCTGAACGATTGACGATGATGGCTTAGGATGATGGCTGAGGGTCCTGCCTGAACGATTGACGATGATGGCTTAGGATGATGGCTGAGGGTCCTGGCTGAACGATTGACGATGTTGGCTGAGGGTCCTGGCTGAACGATTGACGATGTTGGCTGAGGGTCCTGGCTGAACGATTGACGATGTTGGCTGAGGGTCCTGGCTGAACGATTGATGTTGGCTGAGGGTCCTGCCTGAACGATTGACGATGGCTGAGGGTCCTGCCTGAACAATTGACGATGATGATGATGGCTGAGGTCCTGGCTGAACGATTGACGATGTTGGCTGAGGGTCCTGGCTGAACGATTGACAATGTTGGCTGTGGGTCCTGGCTGAATGATTGGTTGGCTGTGGGTCCTGGCTGAATGATTGACAATGTTGGCTGTGGGTCCTGGCTGAATGATTGACAATGTTGGCTGTGGGTCCTGGCTGAACGATTGACAATGTTGGCTGAGGGTCCTGGCTGAACGATTGACAATGTTGGCTGAGGGTCCTGGCTGAATGATTGACAATGTTGGCTGAGGGTCCTGCCTGAACGATTGACGATGGCTGAGGGTCCTGCCTGAACAACGATGATGATGGCTGAGGGTCCTGGCTGAATGATTGACGATGTTGGCTGATGGTCCTGGCTGAACGATTGACGATGTTGGCTGATGGTCCTGGCTGAACGATTGACAATGTTGGCTGTGGGTCCTGGCTGAACGATTAACGATGTTGGCTGAGGGTCCTGCCTGAATCATTGACGATGATGGCTGAGGGTCCTGGCTGAACGATTGACGATGTTGGCTGAGGGTCCTGGCTGAACGATTGACGATGTTGGCTTGGGGTCCTGGCTGAACGATTGACGATGATGGCTGAGGGTCCTGCCTGAACGATTGACGATGATGGCTTAGGATGATGGCTGAGGGTCCTGGCTGAACGATTGACGATGTTGGCTGAGGGTCCTGGCTGAACGATTGACGATGTTGGCTGAGGGTCCTGGCTGAACGATTGACGATGTTGGCTGAGGGTCCTGGCTGAACGATTGATGTTGGCTGAGGGTCCTGCCTGAATGATTGACGATGATGGCTGAGGGTCCTGCCTGAACAATTGACGATGATGGCTTAGGATGATGGCTGAGGGTCCTGGCTGAACGATTGACGATGTTGGCTGAGGGTCCTGGCTGAACGATTGATGATGTTGGCTGAGGGTCCTGCCTGAACGATTGACGATGATGGCTGAGGGTCCTGCCTGAACGATTGACGATGATGGCTGAGGGTCCTGCCTGAACGATTGACGATGTTGGCTGAGGGCCCTGGCTGAAGGATTGACGATGATGGTGGCTGAGGGCCCTGGCTGAAGGATTGACGATTATGTTGGCTGAGGGCCCTGGCTGAAGGATTGACGATGATGTTGGCTGAGGGTCCTGGCTGAAGGATTGACGATGATGTTGGCTGAGGGTCCTGGCTGAAGGATTGACGATGTTGTTGGCTGAGGGTCCTGGCTGAAGGATTGACGATGTTGTTGGCTGAGAGTCCTGGCTGAAGGATTGACGATGTTGTTGGCTGAGTGTCCTGGCTGAAGGATTGACGATGATGTTGGCTGAAGGATTGACGATGATGTTGGCTGAGGGTCCTGGCTGAAGGATTGACGATGATGTTGGCTGAGGGTCCTGGCTGAAGGATTGACGATGATGTTGGCTGAGGGTCCTGGCTGAAGGATTGACGATGATGTTGGCTGAGGGTCTTGGCTGTGTAATAATGCTGAGCGTGCATGCTGTTGGGTTTAGCCTATACAGTGCTGATAATGTGGACTGTCCTGGCTCAGTTACACTCCAGTCTGTTATTGTCTCCTGCTGGTCAGAACAACCTGTTTCCGGGGCTTCTGTCTTGCAAAGGAAACTGGTGTTATTGGAAGTCTGGCTGTAGTAGCCTTGCGTTTTGAGTTGTGGCATGACATTCTCAAATTTATACCTGCATGTTCTCTTTAATTAGTGTGTGTCTTCCTTTTATTAACATCATTCGTATTTTATGAAATGACCACCTCGTTCACAATCTGGCTTAATCATATATATCATATATATCCAGCTTTCTATTTCATCTACCGACAACTGTGCCACATCTCAGTGACAGACAGAAGGAGCTATGGGACACGGAGTCTGTCCCTCCCATTGCAGGGTGACACTCTGAAGGGAGCTATGGAACACAGAGTCTGTCCTTCCCACTGCAGGGTGACACAGACAGAAGGAGCTATGGGACACGGAGTCTGTCCCTCCCATTGCAGGGTGACACTCTGAAGGGAGCTATGGAACACAGAGTCTGTCCTTCCCACTGCAGGGTGACACAGACAGAAGGAGCTATGGGACACGGAGTCTGTCCCTCCCATTGCAGGGTGACACTCTGAAGGGAGCTATGGAACAGAGTCTGTCCTTCCCACTGCAGGGTGACACAGACAGAAGGAGCTACGGGACACTGAGTCTGTCCCTCCCACTGTGGGGTGTCAACGATGGCAGAAATCTGAGATATGGAGATTACTCGGAATACTGCAAGTTTTTTGTCAGAGTTTCTAATGAGGAGTATTCTTGGGCTGCTCTCCCAGAGATATGACCTGTTCATACTAACTTGTGTAGGATTGTCTCACTCGTCTTGTTTGGGATACATTTACCAGAAGTTGCTGTGGGTTTGGTGTGTCTAGTAAGTACTTTCTGGCTCCTGACACTTTCTCTCTATTTTAGGGCAGCTCTGGCCTCTGCTCACCAAGGGCAGCCCTTGCCTGAGACCCTGAGTGTTCTCCAGAATACCCCTCAGGTGCGGGGAATGCACACCATCATCAGGTGAGGCCCTCGCTCTGGCAGGCTCTACTCTATTGCATCTGTAATTGTTCTAACCACATCTCCTTTGGGTTTTATAGAAATAAAGACACAAATCGGGACGAGTTTATATTTTACTCCAAACGTCTCATGCGCCTGCTGATAGAACACGCACTTTCCTTCCTGCCTCTTCAGGTAAGTAGAAGCACCTTCCAGCTCCCACCGTGGAAGCCCCCTACTCCTTGCACTCGGATGATTTCCTGCTTTTTGTTTCTGTCACTCGTAACTAATTAACATGAAATCCTAGCCTCGTTCACCAGCTTGTGATTACCTCTTCTCCTCTTTCAGCCAGTGACTGTGGAGACTCCTCAGGGAACTTTATACCAGGGCAAGAGAATCCACAAACAGAGGGTGAGTACCCATGAGGGGAACCAGTAGCAGTAGATACAGTAACTGGATAACTAAGAGGAGAGACACTAATTGGGTTTAAAGGGGGAGTCGTAGTAAGTTCAATGAGTGAGTTAGGAGGTGATGGCAATAGATACAGTAAGTGAAAGAGGGAGGGAAGATGATGGCAGTAGGTACAGTAAGTGGAGGGAGGGGAGAAGATGGCAGTAGATACAGTAAGTGGAGGGAAGGGAGAAGATGGCAGTAGATACAGTAAGTGATAGAGGGAAGGGAGAAGATGGCAGTAGATACAGTAAGTGATGAAGGGTGGGGAGAAGATGGCAGTAGATTACAGTAAGTGATAGAGGGAGGGGAGAAGATGGCAGTAGGTACAGTAAGTGATGGAGGGTGGGGAGAAGATGGCAGTAGATTACAGTAAGTGATGGAGGGTGGGGAGAAGATGGCAGTAGGTACAGTAAGTGCTGTGGGTGGGGAGAAGAAAGCAGAGTAATTGGGTGGTAGATACAGTAAAGTGTCTTGGCTGCTGAGCTTGCACTCTATGTATTATAACTTAATGTAATTATTACCCCTGTACATAGATAACAGGGGTGTCTATTCTCCGTGCTGGGGAGACCATGGAGCAAGCCCTCACTGCAGTCTGTAAGGACATCCGACTTGGAAAGATTCTAATACAGACAAACCATAACACTGGAGAGCCTGAGGTGAGATCCCAGCCCTCTCTTCTTCTTCTAACATCAGAACAAGTGTGCATTTTTTTCTTCTATCTGTACAATGCAGAAACCACACTGGGAATAATCCCCCATATATAGGCACTGTGTTATCATCTAGTGATTTAAGGCTCAGAACTTCAGGGGTTGGAGGGGCTTATGTCCAGGATGGTGAGTTCTTCCCTGGGGTTGGAGGGGGTTATGTCCAGGATGGTGAGTTCTTCCCTAGGGTTGGAGGGGGTTATGTCCAGGAAGGTGAGTTATTCCCTGGGGTTGGAGGAATGGTGAGTTCTTCCCTGGGGCTGGATGGGGTTATGTCCAGGATGGTGAGTTCTTTCCTGGGGTTGGAGGGGGTAATGCCCAGGGTGGTGAGCCCTTTCCTGGGATTGGAGGGGGTTATGCCCAAGTGTTAAATAGTGGTGGATGCCCGCTGTGTTTTTGAGATGGAAGCATCAGGATTTGGCGATGAGAGCACTTAGGCAGCAAGCCTGCAATATAGAGCTGGTGGTAGCGCCGTTGACTTGGAGGGAGACTGACAAGGGAGTGGAAACACTTAAGGGATGGAGAACCAAAAGTTCTATTTTGGACAGATTAAGTTTAAGGAAATGAACAGTAATCCAGTTAGAAATAGCAGAGAGGCAGTCAGGTACACAAGTCAAGAAGGGTGGTGAGAAATCAGGGGAGGACAGGTAGATTTGTGTGTCATCCGCATAGAAATAATATTGGAAGGAGCTGATGAGTTTACCAAGGGAGGCATTATAGATGGAGAATAGGAGACCAAGTACAGACCCTTGGGGAACACCAACAGAGAGGGATTGGGGAGAAGAGGCAGAGCCAGCGAAAGAAACACTGAAAGAGCGATTTGAGAGGTAGGAAGAGCACCAGGAGAGAGCGGTATCTCGTAGACCGAGATTAGAGGATAAGAAGAAGCTGCTAATATTCAACATTGTCAAAAGCAGTGGTGGTGGGTGCAAGTGACCACAGGGCAGAAGAGGGAGTTGGGTTTGGGGGGAAAATTGGTTAGGGGATAGAGAGATGAGAGATCTCTTCCCCAATTGTAGAAATCTTCTCAGTGAAGTGAGTTGCGATGTTTGTCAAGTTGGTAGGAGGAGCAAGAGAGCTAAGAATAGAGTTAAAAGCATTAAACAGTCGTTTGGGCTTGTGGGAGAGTGTGATTGTGATGAAAGGAGTTTACTTTTGCAGAGGAAAGAGACAGACTGTAGGAGCGCAGCTTAAATTTATAGTGGAGTGACTTGCAGTCCAGTGTTCACCAGTTCTGGAACATTTTTGGAGATATCTGGTCAGCTTGATGTGCCAGGGTTATAACTGGGGGCGCTTAGTGCATTTAAATGTAGGAGGTGCCACGATATCTAGTTGAGAGGAGAGAGTGTAGTTGTAGAGGGAGGTTGCAGCGTTAGGGCAGGTGAGGTTTGAGATGGGTAAAAGGAGAATTTCTGGAGGTTGGTGATAACGAGGAGGGTGAGCCCGTCCCAGGGGTTGGAG